AACAGAAGAACCAATTAAAGGTTTTTAAACATGGCAAGCGCCATAATTTGCGTTATTATAACATGAGCAGAGGCGAAAATCCTCAAAGAGAAAACGAGATGGACAGTCTGAATTTTAAAGGTTTTCACGCTCAGTTAGATTGCAAGCTTACGTACAGTAAAATAAATCAAACACAGCTAACACTCATACAGTATATTAATTTTACTTTCGTGTTCAAAAACAAAACAGAACAAAACAGTTATGATGAAGAATATAGTTAGACTGGCATAATTGTTTAAATTCATGCTAATCAGGACGGCGTTAGAGCGTTTCCGATCATGCTGAGGTCCATCGGGGTTAGCTCATCATGGCGATCTCCGGTCATCGCAGTGAAACAAGCCTCAGAAATTACATCGGCCGCCCTTCGAGTCAATAACTAACAGCCTACAGTTCTTTCCGATGCGTTGAGTGGAAGGCCACATCAGTCACACCGAGTTTTACGGCGCTGTCATCCCGAGCAATCTTCATGTTCCCGTAAATTCGGCTGTCCTTCATTCATAAAAGGCAAGCCTTGAGCAGTTTGTTTTTTACTTGTCATGTGAAAAACACTTGCGTGTTTTTATAAGCCACAATTAGGCCGGATTTCACTGGACGTTTCACTTTCAGATTATGTATAAGTAACTAAAAAAACTTCAGGCAGAAATTCGACCTGCCGAACTACTTCAGTTCGTAAACTACTTTAGATGGTGAACTTTGGTGGTTTGACATTTTTGACAGCTTTAGTCTTTTTCAACCAATCAGATTATTTGAAACATTCTAACAAGGATTCTGAGTAGCTTATTGTAGCGTGCTTTATGAGAGTAGAGAGCATGTTGACGACACTGTCTTTCGCTTTGGAAATGAAGGTTGTTTTGAAAATTATATTTTTTTATTTATTATAAAAACAACAGAGGAGCCTTGACTATGCTCTGTTCTGTTGTAAAGCACTTAGGAAGTGACCAGAGTACTCAAGAAGTCGGGAAAGGCTCGTCTCCCTACACTTCTTTCTTGCTCTAGCCGCTTCTTGCGTGCGTTACCGCAGAACAGAGCACAGTCAAGGCTGTTCAAAAAAATTAGGCCTTTTGCCTCACTGATCAACTGTTTGATTTATTTTTAATGTGACTATGTAGCCTGTCATTTTGTGAATAAAACCATAATTTTAGAATTATAATAGCCGTACTTACTGATGACGGTCACTAAAGCCTGGATAAGGTTTGGGTAAATTATATTTTCCTATGATTAAAAAGACTCAGTAAAGCACATAGTCTGTACAGATAACATAAGAAACGTCTTTTAAGCGTAAAAGCAGTTGAAAATAACAGCTTACTGAGGCACTGCCCTCAGCATCTTAATTCTTAAAAATGTGAATGTCGTTATCTTTAAATCAAAATTATAATTAACAATACGTCTTTTGGAGAAGTCAACTACATATGTAATGTAAAGAATAGTGAATATTTAACAATTATTCTACGAGAGCGCACCGAGTATGAAATAATAAATGACTAACGTGGCGCGTTGGTTTTACTAATGTCATAATCGGCAGGCCTGGGCAGAGTGACTGTTCTAGTAAAAATTCGCATAAAAGATAATTCCACCAACTAGCTTTTAGTTCGTTTAAGAACAAGTCTCTGTGAGAATCAAACATCTAGGGAAATAAAAATTTTCAACCCCCCTTCAAATTTTGCATGCAGCTAGGCACTCAGGGGGATGCACAAAAAAGCCCTCTTTAAAGGTCGCAGCACTCCTGTTGCCATGGTAACAACGGCTGCTTGTTCGAGGCTCGGAGCCTCATTTTCATACAAAAACTTCGCAAAAAAAGAGTGAAATGTTTATTTCTCTATCTCAAGCTAAATACAACATTACAAATTGGCACTTCTACCATACATAGTGACATTACACACCAAGAGATTATTCACCTCGGTACAGTTTCGGTCATTTTTGTTGTCGGGTAAAACAGGGAAAACGTTTATCTGAATTTCTCCAAAAGTACACCGATTCTGGAACTGAAACTACCCACCTAGCTGGTTATAATATTTTAGTTTTTAAATATGTAAAAATCTCTGCGGGCCTACCTCTACTTTTAATACAGTAAAAGTACAGGGGCAGTACGCGAAAAAAGCTCAAAATCAGATATTGCATAATTTGGTGATGTTTACATCTAATGTTCTCAACAACAAATGTTTCAGACAAATGAAACACGGCTTTGGAAGAAATTTATCTTATGAGCAATATCCCGAAGAGAAATCTCGCCTCTGGTTGTCATCTTTTAAAAAAAAATTGATCAAACTTCTTGGAGGACTACTCGACATAACTACAAACATATACCTCAAATCGTGTGCATAACATCCAGATTCCGAGTGCTGCACCTTCTTTCATGGGAATTTGAGCGATCCGAAGTCCTCTGAAGATACACTGATATACTTGTATGTCATTTGAAACAAGCTGAAGTCGGCTGATCTACACGAAATTATCCTCACACCGGTCATTTGTCATAAAAATGTACGTTGTCACGATGGCGTGACGCTGTATTTCTCTCTGAAGTTTCCATCGATCGCCCCAAAGAAGACGAGAAATGGACATTTTTGGATGTATCAGCAGATTTCCGCGCATTCTTAGTAAAAACAACTAAAAAAAAAGAAGAAAACCTCAATTGAACGCTCGTAAACACTGAGAATCTAAGAGCAGAAATCGCAGCTTGTCAGCGGCAGTACTACGTGTACAACCCAGTCGTCACAATAGCAATTTGTACTACTCGCGCGAAAATCATCACAAAGTGGAGATTTTGAACTACTCAGTATCCCTGCAGTACAGAAAACGGAACAGGAATTTCATCGCAATCAATTTCCAAAATTTAGCTTTATTCAGGGAGTCTTTCACGTGCTCGAACGTTGTATTGGCTTTGAGCCTTGAGATTCATTTCCCTTGACAATAAAATGCTATAGAAAGTGCTTACAAAATTACAAAGGAACTATTTTTGATGTCGCTTGGACCGAGAAATACAGATTTGAAATAATTAATGCTGTCACTGATCAACTAAAGGGCACAATCTTCTCAGCTATTAGCTTGATGGTCTCCACAGACTAACGTTATTAGACCGAACGATCTCCTTTTTCCTCCTGGTGAGCCGGCCACCTCAGGGGAAAATTAAAGAGACCGTTGACTTCCTCTCGTGTAAATTACTGGGAGATTGCGTTATATTCATCTTTCTTTAAGCTTGTAAAAGATATCCGGGAGAAAAGTATGGAAAATAATGGTGATGAAATCGCTGTTCTTTTTCCTGAAGGACATGAAGCAATCCGGATTACATATTAACCATGGGCAGTTTCGTTCAAGTGACAAGTTGTGATTTGCGTGTGGATAATAAGTTGTTTGAAAGGTGGAATTATGATATTATGATTTCATTAAATCTTTTATTTCGAACTTTGTTATGATTTTTTCTTTATCAAGACATAGAAGGAAACATTGATTGACTCGATAGCAATGCGGCGGTGATAAGTCTCTCCTCGTCATATCTTATGCAAATTTTTTAACAGTTTTCTGACAGTTTTCAGATGATTTGAAATATCTTAATTCCTGTCACAAGGAAATGATAACTGCCCGTATCTGCTCTTTGTAAGGAGATGCCTATGTCGTTCAAATTGATTTGGTTGCAACTGGGTTTTACCTGTAGTACAGCCGCTGACAAGTTACGATTTATACTCTTAGATTCTCAGTGTTTACGATTACCACCCGCTTTGACTCATCTAGTGATAAGCTTCCTGATTTCATCTCTAAACTCCTGCAATCGTATTGCATACACGAAAGGATTAACAATTGAATTCAAATGATAAAGTGCCACCAATGCCAAGTCAACGTGGATCGAAATGCTGGTCAATCTATCTGGTGTTTCGACTGGCAGGGTAGAATTGATGGCGAAAGGCAGAATAGTCAGTACAGAAACTCCAGTGGCTATGAAAAGTGTAACTGTAAGCTTCCGTTCTTTGAGTATTGAGCCACATGGTGGAGAGTGACGGCTGCTTTGAACCTTTATGACAACTGTTATGTGAGAAACCGCGATAAAAACCACAAAAAGCGCAATCAGTGTGCCGTGAACGTACAAGAACTCTGGATGAATGTCTGCGATGTCCAACCAAGCCATAATAGCTGTCAAGAAGAAGTTAATCAACCAACTGCCCATGATACCTCTATAGTAAAACCATTTTCCAATCAAGCAATGTCTGAATGGGAAAAGGGTTGCATGTAGGCGCTCCATGGAAATCAAACAAAGATTCACTTGCGAGGCTAGCGGGAAGATGAATATAATTGTTGTTTTAAGGACTCCTAAGTAGAGGACTCGGTCTTCATCTTTACGAAAATACAGTACTGAAATAGGCACCGTCAGGGCGCCCACCAACAAATCTGCCACAGCTAAGTTTATTATTAGGTACGTACTGCGCTTGCGTAGATGGCGGATTTTAGCAAATGCCAAAAGAGTGAGGGCGTTGCTTATCACGATCACGATAGACTCGGCGATAAATAAGACAATCCAGGCATTACTGCTGTGTACAGGGTCTTCCGTGCTCATTTCTTTGGATGACTGAGCCCAATATATATTAGTCTGCCATATGTGATTTCTCTCAAGCTAGCATAAAAAAATATAAACATAAGCAATGAAAAAGAAAACTGTAAGACTACGACTATTTGAATTGCAAACCTTGTTAACGGGAACATCTTCAAGCAGTACTTTGGCAGTTAGTAATTTATGTCGTCTAGTTAAGCAAATTTTACCGTTTTTGGACTTCAATGAAAATAAGGACTGACACTGCACGTGGCAACACAATTCCTTGATGGGCAACCGGTCGGGGACGAATAATTTTTCGCCAGATTTTCATTAAATTTACATCCATATATAAAAGTGAACAACGATACATGTCAAGGCGGGGGTGCCTATAAACCTACTTCCTTGCAAGCTAATTTTCAAGATATCCTGTAGAATTAAAGGGGCTCAGATCTCGACTCGCACAGGCACACTGAAAATCAACAAACCTGTAGAAACGTCAGGTCGCGTTGCTCAGCTATTACGTCGAGTTTCATGCAGATTGGTCAATCATACTTTATAGCAACCACCAAAAGGTTCACGCATGCAAATGAAAGGAGCTATATGGAAACGCCTTCAAAAGTTAAAGCCTTTTATCCTGGAAATATGGGAACTTAAAATATAGAACTAACAATGTTAATGAAGAGGACAAACACAGCACTTTTGAGGAGACAGTTTCATTTCATACATTTGCATCTTGTAAAACCCATGATGACGCGAGGTGAAGTGGCTTTTTACCTTCGTAAAGTCTGCAACGGCATGCAACCTTTGTTAAAAATCGAACGATTGAGAAGCCGCAAACGCCCTGGAAGATTCCTTTAACTGGCAACGAATAACTGATGTTTACAAAATTTTGTAAAAGAAAAATGTTTGTTTTCTGAATCCCTTTTAAAAATATGTTCTTTATGCTTCACGCAAGCAAACCTCGCAGCAGGCAGCTGAAGTTCTCTTAGACCAGTGTTCGAAGACTTAACGACATAAAAACACGATGGTAATGGCCACCACGTCGAAGGTTAGTGGTGCTTCGCTCTCACCAGTTTCTTGGTTCCTAAAGGGCGATCACGAGTCATGACCTAGCCTCCTATACGCAACGGGTATAAGAATATAATCAGGGTTAAAACAATGAATAAAAATAAGGGTTATTTTTTTGCTTTTCCTAATAATGGTGAAATCGATCCAATATAAAAAGAGACTGACTTTCTTAATTAAAGAAACGCAAACATTTTTGGAGCCTGAAAGTCTGATAACAAACGGAAATTTATCCTTCTTTTGCGGGTTGTCGCAATTTTCATGCTTATTCAACTCCTGTTGAACTAAGAAATTCGTAGGAAGGCCACAACAAGAATTCTAAAATGCGCCGCAGACGAAATTACTCATGACCAGTGGTAGTATAAGATAGGTCGGCTCTTTCACCTAGACTGTCTTATTTGGACTTGGAAAGAGAGGTATTTCTCAACCAGCTTAAACGACAGCAACCTCAGCCAAATTTACATATGTACGGCCGATTGTATGATAAAGTGATTTTTTTGCATGTTGTCTGTGACGTTTTCATCCTGAGAAACATAATCCTGCACAGAATTTAGAATAAATCTCTAGAAAGCTTCGCTGAAAGCAACATATTCTAGAATATTGATGCAGCTGCTATGAACAGAATTTGACGCTTAGAACACGTCACTTTCGGTCGAGACGTTTTCAACTTATGAAAATTACTTCCAACTAACCTTCCTCGGTGTCTCCAACTAGGGTTCTATTCTGTTGGACTTAATTTGAATCTGACTAAAACTTTCTTTCTTATTTGTTATGTTCATGCAGGATGACAGTTGATCGATATCAAGTTCGTTTCACTTTAGACTTAAATTAAACCAATAATTAAAAACGACCCAAAACGTCAAACATCAATCAGTTTAGAGTCACGAATAATACAATTCCGTTGTAGCTTGATTCAATATTCATGAAAATTGGAAATTTGTGGTGATCGGAAATTATGACTGTTGCCTGACCAAGCAATTGGCGATGTCCATCCCTGTAGACATAATTGTCTACTCCTCTAAAAGCCATCTTCATTCCTTTCTCTTTTTATATACCTTTCATAATTCAGTCATCCCCTAGAACACTTTTGTCGGTTGATATGTACTCAAAGGATATCATTTACCGCGGAGTGATTTGACAGGCACTCGCAAATTATTATTTTTTCCTGAAACTCTTCTCTCCAATATAAGTGCTCTACCTTCTTGGGGTTGGACTGTAGTAACGAAGGTAAAACGATAAGGTAAAATGTATCCTGCGGCCCATAAGCCATCTTATTATACGAATTTGAGTAGTTTAGTGTAGCCTGATTGAAAAACTGGCTAATTGTTCTTAAGCGGTAACTGGTAGAGAAAAGAAGATGGCAAATGGGAGAATGGTTACAACAGAAACTCCAGTAGCTATGAAAATTATTACTGCAAGCTTTCTGTCCTTGAGGATTGAGCCACAAGGTGGAGAATGAATGCTATGTTGGATTCCTAAAATAACCATGATATGAGAAACTGCGACACAAATGAGAAAAAGCACAATCAGTCTACCTTGTACGTACAAGAATTCTGGATGTACATCTTCTGAAGTCTGAACAGACCATTGCAGAAGCCACGATAAAGGTTATCAACAAACTGCTCATGATGCTTCTACAGTAGAACCATATCCTGATCAAATAGTGTAGCCGCTCCACGGAAATCAAACAAAGATTAACTTGTGGAGGTAACGGGAAGACGAACATAAGAGCTTGTTTAGGATATGATGGGCGAAACCTACCCCATTGGTGCCTGTACTGGCATAAGTTACGCACGTCATTTCATTGGTGCACACTACATTTTTCAGCGGCTGCAAGCAAAGGTTTTTAAACTAACACTTGAAAACAAACTTCATAGTTGGATAGTCTCGAGCCTATGAAACAATTTGATATAAAATTTGTAGAAAAAATCACGCAATTTTAAACAACATAGACTCAAAACGTTTCTCGAATCGTCGCTTTCAAGGTAATAATTTCCATCCTCGAGTAACTGGCTTCGAACACGCTTATAGATGTATATTTTTCCCCCTTCAGTTTAAAGGGGGATACATGTAAGCCAAAACTATGAAATAAAAAATATCAGTCACCGTGCTCGCTCAAGAGCAAAAGACCACGGTACCTCTTTACCAGGTCCATTGATTGAAAAGCAATACCGCGCTCTCGGAATGAGTGCGCGCTTATTCGCCTTTTCTACGTGATATCTATACGCAGTACAGGATGCGCAGTGCAACACTGATGAATTACCCTTGGTGCACCAACGGCCGATAGCAGACTACAAAATGTCCACTTTTGCCCGCTTTTCGTTTGCTGCTTGTTGCAAATGCCATGGTGAACGCTCCTGTAGCAGTCGCTTCAACAAACAGAGAAAAATTCTAAAAAGATTCTGATCAATGCTGAGATTGAGCTCCAGCCTAATATTTAATATGCTTTATCCATCCCCGGAAGCATTTTTTGAAATTAATTCCTGATAGCCACTTCATCTGAATTGCCTCTTTTGTACCATGGAGGAGGTTTTATGTCCCAGGCAAGGAGGATGATTGGCTCTCTTTGATTTAAGACTTTTTAGGGTAAAATATAATCTCAGTGTTTCTGAATTTTTCGTTTCACCCAAACGCGGCATAATAACAATTGTTATGAACAGCGTTTGAGCCTTCGGTCACATTACTAAGATTTCGAGAGAAAGGCTTTCAACGTCAAAGAAATTACTTGTTACTCACCTTTGCCGCGCATTTAATTAGGGATTTCATCCTTAACGGAATCTGGATAAAACTTCATGTCTCAGGTTTCACGTTCACGTAGCATGACTTCTGACTGATATGAAGCGCTTTGTCTTTTAAGTTTTATTACATAAGAAATGAAAAGTGGCCTCAAACGGCAACGTCATATCTCGTTCATTTTTAAGGCCACACGACAACATGATTCCTTTTGAAGTCTTATTAAATAATAGTTTTACTTATAAAAAAGTCTCTTACTTTCCTTTTTTTCAATTTATTGTCATTGACGAAGTATAGTATACTCGCCGAGGACTGTCGATTGCCAGCTCTCTTACAGACGGAAAAAGCCCTGACTGTTGATAATTTGATGCACGTTTTCTCGTGACAATTCATTTAATGAACAATCCTTTGAAATTAAAATTCATCACATTCGATAAATTTTCCTTTCATGACAGGTGGTGATGCGGCGGAACAAATTTATCTCCCGTAAATCAATAATCATTAAAAGATGAAAAAACATATACAGAAATGATGTTTTTAGCGTCTCATAGACACCCATCACAGAAAATGTACTTTAAAGGTTCGATAAAAAAAACCTAAAATAACAACACAAATGCTTGGTATTTCTGGGAAGTGATATTCTTGTTACAGCTGTATTTTGTTGAGTCATGACAGTTTATAACTTTTTTTTTCGTTCATTGTTATGTTTGATTCAATTTGTGATTCTCAGTAACGACTGTATACATTCGGTCTTGCCATAAATTTAGTACAGACGAGCAAATTCAAATATGTACATGGTTCAAGACTTCTTTTGCAAAGTTTAGTGGTACATGCGAACGTTTTTTGCCGTTCCTCGCTAATTCCATTTATCGTATGCAAAGACAAGCAAAATAAAAGAGAGTCATTGTGTTAAGCATTTGCCTACACTGCAGTTTACTGACTTAACGAACATTTACAAGCAAATTATTCTTCTTAACGACAGCATATTTTTTGGATTCAACTTATTCTACTTATTACAGTTTGTATGCCTTAAAAACGACCTAATAGCGGGTGAGTGTCTAAAAAACTCTGGTGCTGCGTGTGCGGGGGGAAGGGAGGGGGGTGGAAGTATTATTAGATAATTTGGTTTATCCCCTGAATTTATAATGTAAGTTACATTGGCCAATTTACATTATCAACTCAGTTGATAAACCCAAAATGTTTTAGAGTAAAGTGGCTTTCCGAGACCCACCATGCACGAGAATACTAAGATATATACTTGAGATATGCAAAGAATCCTATCTAAACAAAGTCGTTTTTCATTCATGGGATAATATGTGTTGATACAGGCCACTCTATTTCAGGCTGACACGCCGTAAAAGCGAACACAGCCAGGACGGAACAGCTGTTCATTTTCCATTTCGAACTTACATTGTCGTTGTCCCGGAAATTTTCCATAGTAGTTAGCCCTTGAATTGTTGTTCCTTTATGTTCACGAGTGTGTTTCCACTAAAAGTCACTTTATTGTGTACTGCGCGATGTAAGGTCCACGCCAGCTTCTCCTTGCTTTCCTAAACTTTTTCGTATTGTTTCTGAACTCCCTTAGTCTTATAGCGTATACAATAGGATTTACTATGGAACTGGTGAAATATATCACATCTATTGCGTAGCCAACGTGTTTGTAACGATCTGAAGCTAGCTTTGTTTGTATGTTGATTGGCAGAAACTTGTAAAGGGTAACAGGTATCATGGCGAGAACAGAAACTCCAATGACAATGAACAATGTCACAGTTTTTTTTCTTTGGCTGATGTTCCACGATGCTGGGGATTGAGGGCTCTTTTGCTTAGGGTTAGGGTTAGGGTTTTGCATGTTGTCTGTGACGTTTTCATCCTGAGAAACATAATCTGCACAGAATTTTGGAATAAATCTCTAGAAAGCT